TGATGATTTTTTGTCGTCACGAGGTGGTCACTAGAAGCTTGTTGCTAATTGTCTATAGTGACAAATTATAATACCGTCACTAATTCTACACTTTGTAGTGATAGTACTCTTTCATCACTAAAAAATGCATTTAGTGACAAACAAAATGGTCACAAAAGACCTAAAAGATTTGTCATTAAAAAGATAATAGCATCACTGAAAGTACAAATATAGTGATGAGAGTATATTGTCATTATAAGCTATGTTATAGTAACAAATGTTGTCGTCATTCAAAGTTTACGTCTAGAGACGAATTTTAATTTCATCGCCAACTGTGGACCTTTAGTGTCAAATTAAGGTTGTCACAAATTATAGAGTCCTTAATTGTGTGAAGGTCAGAGGTGAAAAAAATTTGCCACTAGAAGTTGAGATTGGAGACGAATTCTCATTTCGTCATTCAAACTCTTTCAAAAAATATTTTTATATTTTTTTTTTGCATAAAAATTGACCCATGAAAATAACCTGATAAAAGACGTGTTACAAACCCAATAATGTATTATCATGTCATTCACATTCAAACAATGTATGACAATTAATATAATAACTTAACCAAAGAACTTAAAATCAATTTTTCTCAAATAAAAATATCATCCAAGAAAATACAAAATAAGTGTCCCAAACAAGTGTTTTTTCACTTAATAAAAGACATAAGTACGGAAAAGAAATAAATAAAAGAGACACAAGTGTGATTTTATCCGTTGTAAACTCACACCATCAACAATTAATCTGCACATAAGAACAAAATAAGATGATATTAGTATGTTTTCAATATCCATAAAAAGTTGAAGATAAGTGTAACTTTTGTAAAACACACCTGATTAAAATTCGATTGAATGGGCATACCATGTTTCATGTTGGATTTGGAGTTGCCGCCTTTCATTTGTACTAGCATTACATCAGTTCAGTGGTATAGGCTTCACGTGTGAGAATGCCAAATCAGAATAAAATAATAAAGTGAATAATTTCATACTATAAGAATGCGCTCAATAGACTTAATCTTGAGCTATTAGATTAGTCAAACATACAAGGCAATAGGTTGTGAACAAATGAAAACTTATGTGATGCACTAGACTAGTTAAATGGGTTGGGTTCGAGTTAAATAGTATTCAACACAAACCTATATATTTATATATATAGATATAGAATTTAATTTTGTTCGTTGGATATATTTAACGATTGGAGATTCTTGTAAATCAATCTCAAGCATAGGGGTATAAAGGTAAAAGACATATTTATGTTATTCCCATCACTCGACGCATTGACAAGGGGTGTCTGTGAAGATTCGAAAACAGAGAAATGAAAATTTGAGTCAATTAGCTGTCAATGATTTTTTTTTTTTAACTTGCCCGAAAAAACCCATGAATTAAACTAGTGTATTTCAATTTAAAAAAAAAACAGAGAGATGGAGACGGTGGTTACACAAATTTGATTTACTTTGAGGTTTTAATTTACTTCTTATACAATTTTAGAATTTTTTAAATTGAATTCATCAGTGGCTAGTCACTTGTTTATTGAGTCAACTAATTGTTATATTCAGCATCAATGAAATAGAAGATTTGATAAGGATGTTCATTTTGGACTGACACATAATTAATGGTTATGGTTGACTAATTATTTACACAAATTTGAAAAAAGACACCACCTGCTAACACAAACAATAAATGGATTAAATAAATAGAAAACACGAATAAATTGAAGTTGACCAGATAAACACAATTAACAGTTATTGCCCTGTCATTCTAGAAATAATTTGATAAGAGATGTGTAACACCCCAATCTAGGGTACAATATATGTAATCCCTATTTTTTTTTTTCATACACCTTTCTTTTTATAAAAATAAGCATATAAAAAAAATTCATCAAACCCCGTAGTGGTATGGCTTGCCATGAGCTCTGCTTATTTATAGACCGTAATATTGATCTCAAGAATATGACATATAATAATACAACTTAAATTTAAAGGACATATAAAAATGAACCCCATGATAACATCTCAATCGACCCTCTAGATTCGACAGTAGACTCCTCACATCTTTATGGTTTTTTTTCTGAAATGTCATTAAGACTATTAGTAAAAGCAAAGATGTAATTAATATTTAAGAGCACAACAAGTGATAAATAAAACTTTATTTATTTAGGAACAACCTTAACCACGCATCAGATACGTACTTACAAATTACACTTCACCTCATACACATTTGCTTACATCGCATAGGCATAACCTGTATATACCACATCAGGAAAATATACAGCATATATATTTACTTCCATATAATTAAATTATTCCTCACAATGAATACCCCACACGCACACAAACTAATCGCCTCGTAAACAACAACTGTATTGCAAGTTTTTATCACCTCATAGATGTCATTCATCATTGTGAAAACCCAAACCACATTAATGGTTTTCCTTCAGATGACCCACATCACAGAGAGCCTTTGATCACGTTACTTAGACGACTCCACCACATAATCAAATCCCATCACATAGATGACTCAAGACATATAAATAATTCATGTTACGTAGACGATCCAACTCACATAATCCTTTCTTGTCACTTAAATTATACTCAAAACACTACTGTATGTCTCTGCTCAATTAATTATTCTCAACAATAATTGTAGAAAACATATATAGTTAAAAGTCTAATAAATTATCACAAAAAAAGTTGTAGGGTGGTATACTTACCTTGTGTGATGTTTTACTCATAGACGACCCCTTCGCCAAAGCTTCTAGTGCGGCGTTTTTCGCGGTGTTCGTCTCCAAACCTGGCATAACCGATATTCACAATTCCATTCATACATTAATACGTAATAACCCTTAAGTTCGAAATGGTTTACTCGAACCTAGTTTAATGATTATATCCCTTCGAATTAAATAATTTATTTATATTAAATAACATTATCTATTCGAATTGATTAAACTAATAGTTTGATAATCAACTCGAGTCAAGTTAAGTAATCAATTTGCATCGAGTATAATTATCTACTCAAATCAAATTTAGCTAATCTTCTTGAATCCGTTTAGAAAATATTTATTCAAATCAATTACACCAAAATTTAACATTTTTCATAAAATTATAAACATAACAAAAATATACTTAAATTTGCGTAATTTTCTATTCAAACATAAAATGACATGTTTACTTGTAATTACTCATATTCATGGATTCATGAAAATTCAAGAACAATTCACAAGATTTCTAAGCTACCCACCAAACTACTATGTTAATTTTTCCAAGCAACACCTATGATACTATGCATTCATAACAAGTATCTCAACAAATCCACATGCAATAATTCTACTATTCTATTTTTCATGCAACAACATTGACTTAATTTACAAACCCATATAAATATTGAGGTAAATCCTTCATGTATTAATCAAAATTCTTACTAAGCATCATACTTAAAAGATACCATACTTTAAATACATGTAACACTCAAAATATATATATTAGAGTTGGATTCCTACATATTAGAAGAAGAAAATGGATTATAATTCTTATCTTTGCACCCACACTTTTTTTTTTCCTTCTCTTCTCTTTTTTTTTCCTTTCCTTCTTCTTCCCTTTCTTTTTTGTTTGCATAAGTGCAGACTTCCATCATTAATTATACGCGCGAGCGCGCGCACACACACACACACACACACACACACACATATATATACATATATTTCCTTATATAATGTATATGTATACATACTTATATTTATATGTCCACTTTTTCTTTATATGCATATTTATACATAGACATGTATGTATATATATATATCCAAATTATTGATCACCTATTAAATTTGTATTTTGGACCCTTAACTACTCTTTGTATATACTAACACATTTTATTTTAATAACAATAAATTGATGTCACATGCTTGCCACCCAATTAATTTCACATGTACTAACGTACATAAAATAATAAACTCATATCTGTCAACATTCTTATTTAACTTTTCACACTTGAATAAAACAATTCCCCCTATAATCATTATTTATAAATTATTTCTGAATATTAACATTTTCATTATTCAAGTTTAGGTCTCATATCATTACTCGTAGTTAAATACTGATTGCCACTCCTACGGATGCATGTCACTTATGAATATGTTGATTAAAAATATTACATGTTTGTTATACTTGTTTGGATTTAAAATTTTTTCCCTCTTTAGGAATTTCGTCCCCAAAATTTGGCTTATCAATCTGAAACAAGTAAAGATATTTTTTTTTCAACTATTTTAATTTTATATATAATGATTAAAATAAGTACTTGTATCTAAACCCCTGACATAATATAAAATGCCTAATTATTTTTCTCGTGTCTCACAAGATGTGTCACAAACCCAATAATGTAATGCCCTGTCATTTACATCCAAGCAATATATGAAGATTAATATAACTCAACCAAAAAACTTAATATTAATTTTTCTCAAATAAAAATATTATCCAACCAAATACAAAATAAGTGTACGAAACAAGTATAATTTCCACTGAATAAAAGATATAAGTATATAAAGGAAATATAAAGAAGAGGCACAAGTGTGGTTTTTGTCTATTTTAAACAACTCGCCCCACCAACAATCAATCTACACATAAGAACACAATAAAATAATGTCAGTATATTTTCAATATGCATAAACTATTGGCAAGGTTCCTTTGCATAGATAACATAAAAACAAAGAAAAAGAACCAAGACAACACTCAAATAGATGTTTCAAAATTTCAAATAAAAAAATTCCTTTAAACTAATAAGTACTACTGGAATGAGGGGTAAATTCAAATTCAAGTCAATTCGGATCGACTCAAACAAACATAACTAGATCTCCAACTTTTAACGTCAATTTTTCTTTGAGGGATATTATGGTGTATACATGATATAGCATATGTGATGTCCATGTTTCTTTTGCAGGCATTTAAATGAAAACTATACACTTAATTTTGTAGAAACTATATTAAACGATTACCTTATATTTCTATAGTTAAAGTTATCATCATCATCATCATCACCATCAACACACATATTCTCTTCTTCATCAGTACAATAATCGTCAAGTGTGTCATTTTGTCCATCACTTTCTTCACCATTTGAGTCATCTACTCCCTCATTATCCACATCACTTGTACTAATACGATTTGAATCAACATCATCTCTATTAAATGGCACCAATTTATGTACTTCTACTTGGACAATCCCATCAACAATGCATGACTCATTCTGCTGATATGCTTCATCACTACTGATCACCCCTCATCATATATATATATATATATATATATATATATATATATATATATATATATATATATATATATATATGAGTTTACTAAAAATTTCTTTATATTCACAAAATAAAGAAATTACAATACAAGAAATAAAATACTTACAACACTAGTACTAGTGGACTAGTGGAAGTGAGTAACTAAGGATAGGGGTCTGCTTCTTCATTTGCATCATTATGAAGATCAGAGATACAATAAAAGGGAAGGATAGTGTTTGATGACTAGTAATATTGTGTGAAAACACACTTGATTTGCTGGTGAAGACTGAAGTCCTTATATAGGAGGATAGAGCCTTCGGAGGGAATCTTGTCATGATTTCCCTTTCCTGCTTTTACTAAGGTAAAATACTTTTCACTTTAACTTTCGGCGGAAAAGTAAGAGTGAAATTCCTTTTACTTAAGTTACTCTTAACTAATGCAGGTGTGGACCCCTACTGCAGGCTGAAAAATCTACTTTCGGTGGGAAAGTAGATTGGATGCTGACTGGCGGCTGCTTTATTGTGGAAAGAGCCTGACTTTACTATATGATATAATATCATTAGAAGTGACAGACAGCTTTTCCCTCTTTTGAGAGTAATGATTGAAGTTATCACATGTAAGGATAAAAATCATGGGGTAGTGATGTCGGCTAAGTCATCATATCCTGCAAAAGGATCTTGGTTGTCTTTAAACGGATCCAAGGATGGTGTGACTGAGGCCTGTGATGATTCAGGCGAACTGCTTTCACTAACTACTTGTTGAAGAAACTTATGTGCTAACTCAATGAGGGCAGTGGACTTCTTCTTGGATTGCTTACTAGAATCCCTAGAGAAGAATTTTTTCTGCTTGACTATGGGTGGTTATGCCGATGATTCTACAAGGGCAGAGATGCTGAGGGATGACATAACCTGTTTAACTGGAGTTGTTGGAGCATGACTAGTTGTTCCTGGAACCATGTTGGAGTAGGAACTTTTATTGAAAACTCCTGTTGAACCTGTTGGATAATGCACTCATGCTGGTATTTGGGCCACCATTTTACGCGAAATTATCAGATAACATAACTTACTGCAATATCCTATTTCCAATTGCATATCCATGGGACTTTATATTTTTCATTAAAATTAAAAGACTCGAAAAACTAGACTCATGTTTACTAGGTTTGTAAGTGGATGAGAAACAGGTCACCTGATCCAGAAGATCCAATGAAAGAATTTCAAGCATGGGGCCGTGAACCTGCCACCACTGTGAAAACCAACAAGGAAGTTGGCTTTTGAAATCCTTACTAAACTGGATGAACCAGGAATGAGTCAAAGACACATCCTGATAGAGGATAAGTTTATACCATGACTCTTTGTAGTCATAGTAGCTAAACTTCTTGTTATGAAAAGGTAGATCTCTGAGCAAAGAAGGATGAGATCCTCAATCTTTGAGTGACATAATATTTAATATATATAAAGAATGATAAATAATTTTACTAGTATCTTTACTGTCTGCAATTTTTTGGATGAAAATGGACTTAGTAAAGAAAAGGATGTCCTGATAAAATTGAAAAGTCTTTTCAGGGTCATGTGGGACAAAAGTCCATCCAGGCTCAAGGTAAGCATTGACTAGGTCAATTGGGTTACTAAGATGAGCATGGGCTGGTTCAATAGGGAATATGTAATAGGCCGGAGGCTTGTCAACATAATCTGTCTTTTTGTAACTAGGCTGGGACTTGTATCCCTGATATGGGTTAACTAGCTGACTAGGTCTAGCTGCGAATATGAGTTGGACCATATGTGGGCTAGAAGAACTGGTTGGGCCTTGCTGGGCCATTTGGGGGAAAGTACTAGATTTTACTAATATGGACTGGGCCACTGGTTTTACTAGGTTACCAAGGGTTGGTAACGGTTGGCTATGACAATTGTCGTTGACTGGCTAGGCAATTGGCTTGGTTTTGGATTTGGGCTAGGTAAGGCTAATTGTTTTCCAGTATCCCTCCCGGTTTTGGAAGAGGTATCTGGCTTACTGTTTTTCCTGTCCGCCATGAGGTTTCTACAAAAATTCACGGGTTAGGAAATCAGGGATGCAGTTATTACTGCCTTTAATATATTCGATGTCAAAATAAAAACATAAAATAGATTGTCATTTGATAAAAATTTGCTTACTAGCAATGTTTTGTACATTTTTTTTCAAAATATATTTTGCTGATTTACAATCAACTCTTACTAAGAAATTCTGGTTTAATATATCATCCTATAATTTAGAGATACACAGGATAATAGCTAATTTTTTTTTAACTGTACTATAATTAGCTTGTGCCTTATTACAGATACCAGAATGAAAACGAATAATTTGCTCTGGGGAGTCTGGAGTAAGATGCCACTGTAGCCAATGTCGGAGGCATCAGTTTGGATGATTTTGAAGGAATCAACGGAAGAAATACCAAGGCAAGACAAAGTTTTGATAAACCGCTTGACTTGTTGAACTATGGATGTATGAACAGATGTCCAAGGAGAAGGATTTCCTTTGAGTCTGTCATACAAAGGTTTGATTGTTTTTCTGAGATCTTGATAGAAATCAGAAACATAGTTTAAGGATCCTAAGAACCTTTGCAATTGAGTTTTATCGGTTATCTCATCAGGGAACTTATCTGCAAATTGGATTGAACGACTAATGGGAACGATAGTTGACTGTTGGATATTGTATCCAAGAAACCTAACAGAGGTTTAAATAATTTGATTTTTCTAGCAGAGATGACAAGACCATTATGTTTGACAATCTCTAAAAATACATGGAGATGTTTCCAGTGTTCTTCTATAGATCTGGAGAAGATGAAGATATCATCTATATAGACTATAGAAAAATGACTAATGGAATTAAAAATTTCATTCATTATGTTTTAAATTTCACTAGGTGCATTTTTCAACCCAAATGACATTACATTTCATTCGTAATGACCAAAAAGAGTTGTAAATGCAGTTTT